CGCTAAGTGGTATCACCACGTTCCGCTACTGCGCTGGCAGTCCGGTTCCAACAATGAGTAACAGATAGCATGATGGCGCCTCCAGGATCAAAATATTCCGGAGGTAAAATACCCGACCACTCGGATCTCCGGGCGTCGGGTGATCCTGGGGGTCCTTCATGCAAAGATATAAAGAGAAGATCAAAAACTCAACTCAGAATTGATTTTAGCAATATAAGAGGAATAAGTAGAAATATGAATTCAGTTCACCAACATCTTGAAGAACAAAGACCTGACATCCTTGTTCTCACTGAAACTAAAATCAGTTCTGCAACACCTATTGTGAACTCTCTTTATCCCGGCTATGACCTACACCACCGATTTCGACATAATTTTGGGATCTGTGTGTACATTAAAAATGACCTTTCATGTCATCGAGAGGAGAAGCTAGAACCAGCGAACCTTGATATCATATGGCTAAAATTCACCTCAAAGTCATCGACCAAGTTTATCTGCTGCCTCTACCGACCGCCATCTAACACCGAGTACCAAAACTTTTTCGCGACATTATCCGAAAGCTGTGATAGTATACAGTCAAACTATCCACAGGCAGAAATTGTCTTTTTAGGCGATTTCAACGTCCACAATATACCCTGGCTGAAACACCACAACAAAACAGATAACGAAGGCAGAGAAGCAGAAGCTTTTGCCATAAGTTGTGGTCTAACGCAGCTTGTCGATGAACCTAACCGTATCTCAGAAAGGGGCGAATTTGCAGCGCTTTTAGACTTGTTCCTATCCACCAATCCTGACTCGTACACAATTCAAGTAGATGCTCCACTTGGTTCGTCCGATCATAAACTTATAATAACAAAGTGCGAAATGCTCATCCCACCAAGCCTACAACCACTTCCTCGTAAAATGTGGCACTATAAATCGGCAAAATGGAATGACCTAAAACAGTATTACCTGGATTTTCCATGGCAAGAGGTTTGCTTTAAAACAGCTGATCCCACTATTTGCTGTAATGAAATAACACAAGTAATCTTATCTGGAATGGACGCATATATCCCACATACAACTAAACGTAGAGCTAATGCAAAACCTTGGTTCAACAGCCAGTGTCAAACGGCTGTACAGAAAAAACACAGAGCATATAACCTTTGGAAACGACAACAAACCGCTCAAAACCACAAAGAATTTATAGAAGCCAGAAATAGTTGCAAAATTACTATTGACTCCGCTAAAGAAACATACAATCAAAGAATAAAAAACAGGTTGCTGAATTGTCCAAGTAGTTCTAGGTCCTTTTGGTCTCTTGCAAAAGCTGTTGGAGCTAACTTCACCAAGTCATCCATACCACCACTTACAGATAAAAATAATCACTTAGCCACAACATCAGAGGAAAAAGCCAATATGCTGGCCCAAATGTTTTCCTCCAACTCCAACCTAACAGTGCCAAACGGAAAAACTCCACCGTTCATTGAAAGGGTTTCCCATAGTATGCCAGAGGTACCCTTTTGTCACAGAGAAATACGAAAATCCCTTAAAAAGCTAGATACAAACAAAGCAATGGGTCCGGATAGCATTCCCGCAATAGTACTCAAAAATTGCGCCAACGAACTCACCCCAACTTTCGCAAAATTATTCAATTTGTCTTACAGGCAAGGAGTATATCCATCATCATGGAAGTCTGCCGCAGTACAACCCATTCCAAAGAAAAGAAAAAAGACAGATCCGTTAAACTATAGACCAATTGCTCTACTTCCGGTGATATCAAAAGTAATGGAAAGAGTTGTGAACAATCACCTAACCAAGTACTTGGAAAAGTACAAAATTATCAACGATAAGCAATACGGATTTCGAAAATATAGGTCAACTGGCGATTTACTTATATACGTCACTCACTTATGGCAAAAAGCGATTGAGTTGCGGGGTGAAACAAGAACAATTGCCTTAGATATATCTAAAGCATTCGACAAAGTTTGGCATGAAAATCTGCTCAACAAGCTCAAAGCAATGGGATTATCGCCGAAACTTTGCACTTGGTTTGAAAGTTACCTAAAGGACAGATCCATTTATGTTGCACTGGATGGCCAGAACTCCAACTCTTACCAAATAAATGCTGGTGTGCCACAGGGAGCAATCCTTTCACCAACTCTATTTCTGATTTACATAAATGACCTCATAGATAAAACAGTAAATCCACTTTATTGCTTTGCAGACGATGGCAATGTAGTCTCCTCACTCATACCACCCACAGGTCTTTCCGCACGTGAATTCCATCATCTTAGACTAACTCAAATATCGCAGATAAATAACGACCTGGAGATAATAGAGGACTGGGGTAACAAAAACCTTGTACAGTTCAACGCACAGAAAACCCAAGCAGCTCTGTTTTCAAAAAAGAACAGTATCTGGAAGTGCTGTCACATTACAGAGTCAGTTGAACATCTTGGGGGTTAATGCAGAGACCAACATGTCTTGGCACAATCACGTGGCAGATATTGCTAAAAGGGCGTCCCAAAAGCTGGGGGTGCTATTTCGTACAAGACATCTGTACACACCAAGCCAATTGCTGACACTCTACAAAGCCCAAATTCGACCAACGATGGAGTACTGCTCACATATATGGAGTGCAGCACCCAAACATACCTTAATGCTTTTGAATACCGTGCAAAAACGAGCTATCAAGCTGATCAATGACCCCGCACTTACTCGTAACTTGGATGGTCTCGAACATCGCAGATCTGTGGGCGATTTATCTCTCTTCTACAGGTACTATCACGGAAAATGCTCTGAAGAGTTGGCACGTATGATTCCACCGAGAGTAGCGCCTACCAGGCGAACCCGTCAAACAGACGGTAACCATGAATTTACTGTCAAACTAGAGGCACCAAGAACCTCATTATATCAGAATTCATATCTCTGGAGAACAGCATCGCTGTGGAATAAACTCCCTGCGACGGTTTTTCCTGCAGGTTACAACCTGAACCGTTTCAAGACCAACATACACCGACATTTCGGCGCACTTGCCGCTTCTCGAGCGTGATAGGACATTTCCTTGCGAGTGCGCATATCCGTAAAAAAAAAAAAAAAACTGAATTACGAAAATTGTAGTTGTCTGTTAATAATATTGAAGCATACTATTAATTGATTATGAACTGTTTTAAATCTTGTTTTAAAGCAGGTCTAAATTCTGTATTGTAATTTTTTTTTGTAAGGCAGGCCCAAATATTTTCGCTCTTAACATGATCTATCTGATCAAAATTATCTCCAAAGCGTTCATAAGCGGATGGCAGCATAACATCTAATTATGTATTTCTCGCTAGACAGACGTCCATCAATAAAATAAATCTGCCCTGCACCTTCAGCACTTATACAGGCCCATGCATGAACAAAAAATCTTCCGCTAGACTGATTAAATTGGATGTAGTCCTCCTCATACCTGGTTCGTCGTGACCTATAAACTTTTAATGGATATGAAACGACCTCATCAAGAAGAGATTGATCCTCTTGTCGGACTGTTTTTCTCGGTCATCTTAATCGTTGTAGGTTCGGGATAGAATAATGTTTCAAAGCTAGGTTTAATTATTTTTCAGAATCTGGTCCCAGGACATCACTAAATTTATACTATGTAGTCCGCCTTTGGTGCGCTACTTCTCACACTGTTTAAAGAGAGAGAACAATTTTCCCCTCTTTCAACATCATCCCTGTCGAGTTCTTCATTCGTTTTTGTGTGTGCGAGCCGTGCGTTTATCGATCGGTCTCACTATAGAGTCGCTGTGAATTTTGTGAATTTTTTGCATCAATTCTTATTATATTGGATTACGGAGTAAGATAATAATTATTAGAGCATCTGTAAGTACAGTATTGTGCAATAATATTACAGGAATTTTTGTATTTTAGCCCTATTTTTTCTCGTGGAATTATGGGCAAATCAGGGAGAAGTCGATCTAGGTCTAAAGGCCGACATATTTCTCGACGAGAATTGTTAAAACGTCTAGAAACCCTAGAAAAAGATTGGCATCATAGGCGAAATAAAACAAGATCCCGTTCTGGCCGTAGATCTTGTTCGCCACTTTCCACCAGTCGAGGGCTCTCGGTGGCGCCGTCGATTGCGGCGGTACCCCCTCCACATCCACGCGTCCTAGGGAATCGCAGCGTTGATCGTAGCCTGTCGGCAAACGAAATCATTTCCGTAGATCGCAGCCCGGGCGGCGCGACAAACGGCGTGACAGATACTGATTTAAATAATCAGAGGACAGTTTCTCCGGTGATAGAAATCCACAATGATGTGGAATTACCGACAGATATTTAAGATATGTTAGGGGAAGATCCGGAAAATGATAAAACAGATGCTTATGTTTTACATACAGCCCTAACAAACAGGTGGTCGTCTGTTTTATCAAAAGGGCTTTCTAAGGAAACCAAAGAAGAACTGTTGAAGCGCCATTTACTTCCTAAGAATTGTAAAGAATTATCTCCTCCTGTGGTCAACAGAGAGGTTGTTCCTTGCCTGTCAGCTGCTCACACTAAACGTGATGCTTGCTATAGCGACTTTCAAAATCAATTGAGTCGAGGGCTGGCAGCTTTGGGCAAAGGAATAAATTCGATAATTGAGGAGGGCCTTGAGATAGCCCCATACATAAAGGAAAAGGTACTTCCTTCACTGACAGACGCAGGGCGTATTTTTGCAAACTTATTTTGTGAAACAACGCAGACGAGACGGGACCTTATCTTCCCTCTCCTCAGTAAGTCAGTCAAAGAGGTTATGGAAAAACCCACTCCGGGCGAATATTTATTCGGCCAAGACTTAGCCGAAAATATTAAAGAAGCGAAAACCCTGGAACGAGCTACAAAGGAGCTTCGAGCAACGCAAAACACATTTAATAAGTTTTCCTTATCGAAGAAAGGGGGAGGGGGAAACACCTCGAATTACCAACATACCAATAAGGAAAACCTTGCTCAAAACTCAGGTCGTCAAGCTCGCGGTCCAATTCCACTTATTTAAACCAGAGATGCCCGCTACGCCAGAGGAGAGAGGCGAAGCCAAAGAAAGGGCAATCTCCAACACGGAAGAAGTCTTACAGGAGGAGGTACTAAAGGTAAGTTCGAAAATGTCTGCCGGGCGATTAAAGCTATTTTTTAATGAATGGGAAAAGCTAAATCCAGAAGCTAAAATATTGACCTGGGTAAAAGGCTATGAGATCCCCTTCACTTAGGTTCCCAATCAACTATTTCCCCCCCGAAGAAACCATTTAACAATTTCGGAAAATCAAGAAGTAGAGGTAGCCATAAAAGAACTTCTAGAGATGGGGGCAATCCGTGAATGTTCCTTCCAAGCCGGGCAGTTTCTTACTTCGTTTTTTCTTGCCCTTAAATCCAATGGGAAAAAACGTTTTATATTAAATTTGAAAAATTTAAACAAATTTATAGATGCTCCTCACTTCAAAATGGAGGATTACCGAACTGCCCCTAAATTAATTCAATTATCAACGTTCATGGCAACAATAGATCTTAAGGACGCTTATTTTTTAGTCCCTATGGACAATAAGTATAAAAAGTTTTCAAGGTTTCAATTTGGTGAACAAATTTATGAGTTTCAGTGTATGCCATTTGGGCTGTCGGTAGCTCCTTTTTGTATCACTAAATTGATGAAACCAGTGTTGAAGACTCTGAGGAAAAAAGGCATATCCTGTGTTAATTATCTAGACGATTTTCTAATTCTAGGAAATTCTTACGAGCAATGTCTGCTTAATGTCAGATTTACTGTGAAACTACTTAGAAGTTTGGGTTTCATAATAAATTCTGAAAAAAGTGTTTTGACACCAGCTTTAAAGCAGAAATTCTTAGGATTCGTGTTTGACAGCTTATCGCTTAGATTGGAGTTGCCATGGGAAAAACGATTAAAAATAAAAACACTGGCAATTGAATTTAAAAATAAAAATGTTTGCAAAATTAGAGATTTGGCCAAGTTTATAGGTGTGTTAATATCAGCTTGCCCATCCGTCAAATATGGTTGGCTTTATACCAAAAAGCTAGAGAGGGTAAAATATCTTGCGCTTCAGAGAAATAACGATAATTATAACGCGACAATGTCTCTGTTGCACCAAGCATTATCAGAAGACCTTGCATGGTGGAGCGAAAACATTTTAAGCACATATAATAATATTAAACCTGATTCCTTCAACTTGGAAATATTTACTGACGCAAGTAGAACCGGGTGGGGAGCTTGCGTGGGACAGGAACGGACTCATGGTTTTTGGTCGGACTCGGACAAGTCCTATCATATAAATTTTTTGGAGCTTTTGGCAATTTTTTACGGCCTTAAAAGCTTCACCGCTCAATCAAAAAATATTAATATTTTAATTAGGTCCGATAACACCACAGCTATATCTTACGTAAATAAGATGGGCAGTATTCAATACCCAATTTTGAATGATTTAGCCCCAGAGATTTGGCAGTGGTGCGAGAAAAGGAATATATGGTTATTAGCGTCCTACATAAATACCAAAGACAATTGGCAGGCAGACGAGGAATCTCGTTTAGTACCGACAGAGACGGAGTGGTCGCTGTCAAAACATGCATTTAACAGAATCACAGCCAAACTAGGGTTCCCAGAAGTGGATCTCTTTGCCTCAAAAATCAATCATAAATGTAAAGATTATGTTTCGTGGCTGAGGGACCCAGGATCAATAGCGGTCGATGCATTTACTCTAAATTGGAACGGTATTAATTTTTATGCATTTCCACCGTTCTCGTTGATTCTGAGAATGCTTCAAAAAATAGTTCAGGACAAGGCTGAAGGCATAGTCGTGGTACCAGACTGGCCAGTCCAACCCTGGTATCCACTATTCCTGAACTTACAATCAAGCAATCTAGTTATTTATATATTCATGATGGCGCGCACAGAGTAGCAACCTAAGTGCAACGTCTCTGTATAAAAGTCAAATATTTAGCAATTATAATTAAATAAATATCAATATTAGTGTCAAAAAGTGAGTAGGTGGTGTCTAGAATATTATCTGCAAGTTATTACTACAAAAATGGTTGGAAGAAGTCAAATAATAACAAGAAACAAGGCGACGGTACCATCGCAAAATAGAAACCACATGGCCGACCGTGTAAACAACCTAGAGGTGAACCTGCAACAAGGTTTGCAGGAAATTAAAGATAAAGTTCTGAGTAATCCAAACACCCCTATTCAAAAAGATGAGCTTACTAACGCAATAGCAGAATTCGAATCGAGAGTTCTAAAGGAGATTCAGGAGGTCAAAAATATGCTGGAAGAGATGAACAAGGAGGTGGAATACTCCAAACAAGAAATCAAAAGTAACTGTCTGGTTATCAACGGCATCAAAGAAAAAAATAACTCCGATATTTCTACGGAAATAATCAGTATTATTCAAAATAGAATAAACATCGATGTTTCCAAATCCGATCTTGACTATTGTTATCGCTTGGGCCAAAAAAGTGAAGCATCTACAAACAAAACACGGCCAGTTGTAGTTCGGTTTGTAAACAGATGGCTACGCGACGATATATTTAACTTAAAGAAAAATCTTAAGGGATCGGGAATTGTTATAAACGAGTGTCTAACCGCTAAACAAATAGTGCTGCTAAAAAAAGTGCGTGAAAAAGTAGGTGTCAAAAACTGTTGGACCACTGGGGGTAAGATATTTGCCCTTATAAATAATGTTAAAACCAAAATTAATTGCGAACAAGACTTACAATAACTTATTCTGCAAACAAAGGGTACCTAATGCCTGAACAAAAAGAAAACTAAATTACAGTTGTGCTGTGCTATATTATATTACATTGCTATCTGTCATTTTTCGAATTGTATAGATCGATCTATAATTTTCTAATATTTCCTCTCTTTTTTTTTTTTTTTTTCTTTAAATCCGCTATCACTCACTATTGCTGCATATTATATCACTGGGCTAGAGGCACAGGCACAGGGTTGTAAAAACTTTGTATTTTTTTTTTTTTTACTTTTTGATCAACCATACAATATCCTGAATTTATTTAGAATTTAGAAACTCACTTTTGTATGATCAATAAAGATTTATTAAAATGGAAAGGTGTATTATAACATTGTAATACAAAATTTATATTTTACAACAATATGAAACACAAAAAACAAGTTTCAATAGCACATATTAACGTAGCTTCAATTTGTCTTACAGGCAAGGAGTATATCCATCATCATGGAAGTCTGCCGCAGTACAACCCATTCCAAAGAAAGGAAAAAAGACAGATCCGTTAAACTATAGACCAATTGCTCTACTTCCGGTGATATCAAAAGTAATGGAAAGAGTTGTGAACAATCACCTAACCAAGTACTTGGAAAAGTACAAAATTATCAACGATAAGCAATACGGATTTCGAAAATATAGGTCAACTGGCGATTTACTTACATACGTCACTCACTTATGGCAAAAAGCGATTGAGTTGCGGGGTGAAACAAGAACAATTGCCTTAGATATATCTAAAGCATTCGACAAAGTTTGGCATGAAAATCTGCTCAACAAGCTCAAAGCAATGGGATTATCGCCGAAACTTTGCACTTGGTTTGAAAGTTACCTAAAGGACAGATCCATTTATGTTGCACTGGATGGCCAGAACTCCAACTCTTACCAAATAAATGCTGGTGTACCACAGGGAGCAATCCTTTCGCCAACTCTTTTCCTGATTTACATAAATGACCTCATAGATAAAACAGTAAATCCACTTTATTGCTTTGCAGACGATGGCAATGTAGTCTCCTCACTCATACCACCCACAGGTCTTTCCGCACGTGAATTCCATCATCTTAGACTAACTCAAATATCGCAGATAAATAACGACCTGGAGATAATAGAGGACTGGGGTAACAAAAACCTTGTACAGTTCAACGCGCAGAAAACCCAAGCAGCTCTGTTTTCAAAAAAGACCAGCACCGGTGAGCCAAACATCATGCTATCTGGAAGTGCTGTCACATTACAGAGTCAGTTGAACATCTTGGGGGTTACTGCAGAGACCAACATGTCTTGGCACAGTCACGTGGCAGATATTGCTAAAAGGGCCTCCCAAAAGCTGGGGGTGCTATTTCGTACAAGACATCTGTACACACCAAGCCTATTGCTGACACTCTACAAAGCCCAGATTCGACCAACTATGGAGTACTGCTCACATATATGGAGTGCAGCACCCAAACATACCTTAATGCTTTTGAATACCGTGCAAAAACGAGCTATCAAGCTGATCAATGACCCCGCACTTACTCGTAACTTGGATGGTCTCGAACATCGCAGATCTGTGGGCGACTTATCTCTCTTCTACAGGTACTATCACGGAAAATGCTCTGAAGAGTTGGCACGTATGATTCCACCGAGAGTAGCACCTACCAGGCGAACCCGTCAAACAGACGGCAACCATGAATTTACTGTCAAACTAGAGGCACCAAGAACCTCATTATATCAGAATTCATATCTCTGGAGAACAGCATCGCTGTGGAATAAACTCCCTGCGACGGTTTTCCCTGCAGGTTACAACCTGAACCGTTTCAAGACCAACATACACCGACATTTCCGCGCACTTGCCGCTTCTCGAGCGTGATAGGACATTTCCTTGCGAGTGCGCATATCCGTAAAAAAAAAAAAAAGTAGCTTCTTTAACTGCACACTTCAGCGATTTTAAAAATACTGTATTAAAAAATAACTACGATATCATAGCAGTTACAGAGACCTCTTTAAAGAGTCACATTCCAAGTGAGGAGGTCAGAATAAATGATTATAATTTTATCAGACAGGATAGGGTTGATAGGGACAGGGGAGGTATTGGTGTTTATATCCCAAATAGCTTCAAATTTACTAAAATTGATTCACCCAATAATATCGAGCAACTTTGGCTAAAAATTAAAATAAATAATCTTGTACTGGCTCTGGGTGTCCTTTACAAATCACCAAGTTTGGCTTATAAAACTTTTCTAAATAATTTTGAGACTCATTTGTCATCTGTCATACCCACGGTAGATAAAATAATCTGCGTAGGAGATTTCAATATTGACTACCTCAATGCTGCTGGATCATATTTTAAAATGGCTTTCGAAATGTTTGAAGGGTTGGGGCTAACGCAAATCATCGAAGAGCCAACGAGAATTACTAAAACCTCACAAAAACTGATTGATTATATTTTAGTATCGGATGAGTCTCTAATTGAAAAGTCTGGAGTTCTTCAAGTGGGCATAAGTGACCATGAATTGACATATTGTGTGACATCGGTTATTTACGATAGAAATTGTCCTGTTTTCAAAACAATAAGAGATTTTAAAAATTTAAATGTTAATCAATTTTATTCAAATCTTAAATCTATTCCATGGCAAAACATCTATCATCTTGAGGAAATTGATGAAAAAGTCGAATTTTTAAATCAAAATATCATTAAGCTTTTAGACCTTCACGCTCCATTTAAAACTATAAGAATTACTAAACCCTACGCACATTGGCTAACGGACACACTAAAAGTTATGATTGCGGACAGGATAAAAATACTTTCCAAATACAAAAAAACTAATTCCCCGATAGACTGGAATGCATACAAACAACTACGAAACATGGTGACTGCAGCAATATCCAGAGAAAAAAAAGCCTTTTTACAATCTCAAGAACATAAAAATATCAACGAAATTTGATCGAGTCTAAAACATTTTGGGTTTGCTAAGAAACAAAGTGAAAAGTTACCTGATAACCTAAATGACGTGGAAAAAATTAACCAATATTTCATTAATTCTATTACAAAACTACCCCTGGACAATAACTTGGTGAATTTCTATAATTCGAATAGAAAGGACAATATCAACTCTGAACTGAGCTTTTCATCAGTTACAGAATCACAAGTCCTCAAAACCATTTCCAGTATTAAATCTAAGGCTATTGGTATTGATGGTATAGGAATTCAAACCATTAACCTATGTTTACCCTATTTGTTGCCGTTTATCACTCATCTAATTAACTTCTGTTTAAAAAACGCAGTATTTCCAACTGTCTGGAAAACAGCAAAAATAACACCGCTCGCAAAAGTCAGTAATCCAGAAGCATTTAATCAACTAAGACCAATAAGCATTTTACCAGCACTGTCCAAGATTTTAGAAAAAATTATTGAACACCAAATTCAAAGCCATCTGGAAATTTTTAAAATAATACCCAACCATCAATCAGGCTTTAGGAAACAACATAGCTGCTCCACAGCATTAACCAAAATCGTGGATGACATTTTGGAAGCAACTGAGAAAAATAAAATGACAGTTCTTGTTCTACTTGATTATAGTAAAGCGTTCGATACTCTAAATCATACGTTACTGCTCGCTATCCTCAACTACTTATACTTCTCCCATCACGCTCGCCAACTTATGTCAAATTTTCTAAATTTTAGAAAACAATCTGTTTTCTATGACAATAAAAAATCAAACGTTTTAAATATAGACACCGGAGTTCCGCAGGGGTCAATTTTAGCTCCATTGTTATATTCCTTATATGTTGTTAACTTTCCGTCCATTTTTTTATCTTGCTTGGATCACTATTACGCAGATGACACCCAGGGCTATATCATTTTCAATGTAGATGAGGGTAGCCAGGCCATTACTGCCTTAAACTTTGACTTGAACAATATTTTTGATGCGTCAAAAAAACATTGCCTACAGTTAAACTCAAAAAAATCAGCTGCCATTGTTTTCGGCCCCAAAAAACACAGGAATGAATTTGAAACTAATTTTAAAGATAGCATTATCATAGATTCAATGCCTATTCCCTTTTTCAAATCAATAAGGAATTTAGGCCTCATTATGGATCAGGACCTACGATTCACTGAACATATTAATAAAAGTTTAATAAAAAGCTATTTAAATCTGAAAAAAATATATTCACATCGTAAAATTTTATCAAAAAAATTAAAAACGTTGCTGTGTGAATCCTACGTTCTATCAAACCTAAACTTTTGTGATACAGTCTACGGCCCTTGCTTAAAGCAATCAGATTCAACTAGAATTCAAAGAATACAGAATTCCTGCTTAAGACTTATACATGGCGTTAGAAAATATCAGCATATATGACATACACTTAAAACAACAAACTGGCTTAATATGTTTAATCGTAGATATTTACACTCCGCTGTGCTATTTTTCAAAATCATAAAAACAAAAACTCCTCTGTACCTAAACAAAAAAATAAGGTTCAGAACTGATGTTCATAATCTAAATTTGCGTTTCACGGGGGGTAAACTCGCCCCACCTAAACATAACTCTCAACTTTTCAAAAGATCTTTCTCATATCAAATAACAGCAATAATAAATAAACTTCCTGTGAAACTACTTGAAACTAATAGCATTCACGCCTTCAAAAAACACTTATTTCTGCACCTCCTTAAAAAACAAAACTACAAATAGCAATAAACTTTTTTTGTATGAACAATAGTTGAAAAGTGCGTTTTATCTGTAAATTGTGTCCACCTACCTACCTTATCGCCTTGTGCCTTTTGCCCCCGATATTATTATTCTTAATTAATTTAGATTTTTGGAATCGAGAAGGACAACGAAGAGAAAGGAAAGAGTATCATTATAATAGAACTAAAGCCCATCATCGTGAAAAAAAAATAAATAAAATAAAAATGTTAATCTTTATTTTCTACTTTTA